CCTGCTCCCTCATCTCCTCCCAGTGCTGCTCCTTCCTTTGTGGCTCTGCCAAGCCCCAAGGGCTGGAACACCAGCACCCAGCACTTAGCACCCAGGTCAGGCCCTGGTTTACAGTGGAGGCTCCCCTTGAAACCTCCTTTCCATTCCCAGTCCCGTCCCTGGCATACTTATCTTGCCCACCCCACCCACAGCCTTCTCACCATATTCCTTCACATCAAAGGCAGCCTTGAACTTCTGCTTGGGTGTACTTTGGTAGCTGGCTTCGATGGTCCAGGTCCCCAAACTGAGGCACAGAAAGTTAAGAGAGATGGAGACAGAATGACAGCCTCCCTTGCCACCCCTCCGGCTCCCAGACCTGACAAGGGCACCTGACAAGCTCTGGGAGGTGAAAGGAGCTGAAAAAGAAGCCGTCCTTGGCTCTCAGACTCTGGCTAATCACGGTGATTCCCTCCGGGTTCTGTGGGGATAGGGGGTGGGGCTGGTGACTGCCCTCTGGGAGGGCCCTTGTGGCTCATGCTTCAGCACGCCGTGCAACGTCAGTGTCCAGGATCCACCCCCACCACCCCCCCATCGGGAAAGACCACCTTGATGTCCAGAGTGAATGTCCTGGTCACAGGGTCCATCTTGTGGTTAACAGTGAACACCCGGTAGTGAACTAGGGGAGAAGGAGGACTCTGAGTGTTGAGTAGAGGAAGGGAAAGACAGAGAGAGAGAGAGTTTGGATCTTGGGCAGTGGTGGGGGCCACTTATGCAGAGAGAGAGATCTTGGGAGGTGGAGAAGATTTTAGGGGATGGGAGTATCTCAGACGTTGGGAAAGACTGGGAATGAGAGCCAGTGATTGCTCCAAGCCAAGTGCCTCGGGGCTGTACCCAAGTGCTCAGGGGTGTAGATGGTCTTGTCTGTCTGGATAAAGATGTAGCCAGCATGAGGAGCCACCAGCACTATCTTCTCCATGAATGAGGAGTCCGAGGAGGGTGCCCAAGTTGCCCGGATGATGGCATATTGCTGCCCTGGTTTTGGGGGGTACACCAGGCTCTCGGGAACCTGACAGAGAGAGATATCCATACTCCTCAGGCTCTGCTGGGGTCTCCCTGACTGGGAGTAAAGCCCTGGGACAGATCCTGGGAGGAGCAATTGACTGAGGATCTTCTGGTTCTGCCTTTGGGAGCTAGGTTGCCATGTGCAGTTGTGCAGGTTGCTCACTGAACGAGAGCACCCAGCCAAAGGAAGGACGAAATCCAGTCCATGCTCAACTTCCCAAGCTACCAACAGAAGGCACCTTTTATAGTTCTCGGAGAGGCATCAAATGGGCTAGTGGAGGCTTCCTGGAGCCCAGGCTTAGGGACTTTTGACTTCTAAATGGACAGGATGTTAGAGGAGCGGTAAGTACTTTGGGCCCTGCATCTACTCTCCAGACACAGAGTCTGCCTTTTTCTACCTTTATTGCTGACCCGGAGCCTCCCTTTGTGGTCACGCATTCCAGCCTGTCACCCACCGTCACAGGTGCCTGGTCCATAAAGTTGTTTCCTGGCGAGAGAATGAGCTGGCTCCTTGCCAACACTGTCTTCCTCATGGGGAAGTCCCATACCGTGAGGTTCACCTCGAGGGTCTTTGTGAGGGGCTGTCTGGAGTCCGAGTGGGCCTGAATGTGAATGCTCTCCGGACTGCCAACCCTCAGGACTCGGGGGGTCACCAGGATGTACCTGCCAGTAGACAAACACAGGGGCATTAAGGGACTTGAGTAGGGAAAGTGACACCAAACAGGAGTCACAAGCTGGAATCACGCAGACATCAGATGTGCAGGAAGCCGGCTGAGCCCCCTCCATTCCCCAGACTCACAGAGGCTCAGCGTGGGTGAGGGGGCTTCCCAACAGAAGCAGAATCCACCCGAGGGGCCAGGGCATGTCCATGGTGGGTGGGAGGGTGACGGGTGGCCACAGGCTGCAGATATCTGTCCTCTTGTCTGTCCTCTTGTCTGCCCTGGCCCTGGCCTGTTTGCCTTGACTGGTCGTGGCTGAGTTAATATCTAAACAGGTGTGGGGCAAGAATCCCTCTAAATCCAACCAGGTGGAGTTGAGGGTGTTTCTCTCTTCCCAGCCAAGCCTCCAAGATAGGCTTGAGAAGTGCCCCAGCTGCTTCCTTGGGGGCCACAGTGGTAAGCGAATTGCCTGTTCCATGAGCCATGAGGGTCTTTATCCCCCCCTACTTTTTTTTTGAGACAGAGTCTGGCTCTGTCACCCAGGCTGGAGTGCAGTGGCACAATGTCAGCTCACTGCCACCTCTGCCTCCCGGGTTCAAGCAGTTCTCATGCCTCAGCCTCCCAAGTC